AGACCGAAAATTTAGGGGGCTAATGGCCAGTTTCCAGGTTTGACACCATTTTCCGATGGCAGCGCTGTTCCCCCAGCAGAGGAGCGGGAGGAAAAGCAGACCCCGGTGCATCGTTATAATCCACTAAGCGGCATTACCATAGAAAATTACAAATTAGCTTTTCAGCAGAGGATACGGACGTACCTAGATTAGCCACAGAGAAACTACAGAACCTTCCAGCCCATTCATCAAAGCTCCAACTTTCAGGGAAATGAAACAATAATAAATATTGAGCAGGGAAAGTTAATCTCCGCTGAACACGCTTTAATAATTCAAAAGTTGCGAGAAATAAATAGATAAATAAATAAAGCGCAGATCCTTTCGCTCCTACAAACACGCATCCCCTGTTTTTCTCACCATTTCTCGTGATGTGACTTGGTGGAAAATGGATGGTGACCGAAATAAAACAACTTCAAAAATTCAGCTGCGGCTGGAAGTGACTCAGGGAAGGAGGGAGCCCATCCACTTTTGCCACTTATCTGGGAAGCTGTAGAGCTGATTTGGGCAAGAGTTTGCTCTCACTGTCCCTAAGGAAAGGGCTGTGTTGGCTCTACCTGCTGCCTGCAGCAGCTCCATGCCCATTCCCTTCCCTGCACGCTTCCAAGCAGCCTCTCACGCCACTCCTTCTTGCAAAGACTGTGGTTTTACCTCTAAAAGCTGGACAGTGGAACAACCAGCTCTGTGTCCACCCAGGGTCCCAGCTCTCTCCTGACATTACTCTGCCATTGCTCCACCCTTTTCCACACCTTTCTGCTCCCACGCTAACCTGAGGGGGGATGCCGCAGGCTCAGCCAGCAGGAGCACCATTCACAGGTCACGATGTCCTCTGGATTCACATCCATTTGCCTTCCCCACCACCCACCACCACTTCACAAGGTGCTCTCAGTCACCAGGGGACCCGAATTCCCATCCCCGGGTTATCTGCACCCCTTCTATCACACCAGCGACTCGCACTCCAAATTCCTACCATTCCATCCGAGGAGATGCCTTCCCAAACTGCCACCCACCCAACATCCAAGCCTAACATTTGCCTCACTCAAGCACTGACTGCGTGCAATGCCTGAGAGCTCGAATGTTTGCAGCAGGAGAACAAGGTCAAACCGAAATGCGCTTTCAAATCCTAATGAATATTTGGCAAAAACATTCCCTTTTTCCCTTTCCCAACCCCAGCTATTTACTCAGCCTTGCTGTGCTGTTAAACGACTCCTTATTCCCACCATGTCTGCTCAGAGGCACCGGAGCACCACAGCATCCTCTGGACAGCATCACACGAGTCTGGGGCTCGCTTGCATCAGCCTCATCCCTCAGCATTCCCGCTGCACCAGGACCAGGGTTTCCAGGACTGTGCTGATCTGATTGGCATTGAGTTACCCATTGCCCAAGGGACTATTTCCCCCTTTTCATTAAATCTGAGCACTTCTTTAGCTTGCAGAACCCATCTCTGCTAGAAACATGTATTCAGCACCGTGTCTGGATCCAGAGCCAGATGAACACATTTGGGCTCCTTCATCATCAAACATCTATATTTTCTTCTGATTTTTTAGGCCAGTGGAAGGTTTATACTCTGGTCTGTTGTGTCAGGAGCTGCACCCAGGATGGGTGAGAGGCCACCTTGCAAACCCCCTGGCAGTTCATGTCACAGTAGTTAGGGCCACCAAACAAATGCAGCAACCCAACATCCAAAAGACCAGGAAAATAAATATATTTATCACAGACTCTCACCTTATCCGCGAGTGGAAACACCAGCAATTAGTAAAAAAAAGGTAACCCAGGCACCTGCGGTCTCAAGCCCCTTTTCCATGACTCGACAAAATGCTTTCCCTTCAGGTTGACAAGATCTGGGCTCACTCATCACACCGAGAATAAGGGTTTTCCCCTTAGGGCTTTCTTTTCCTTCCCCAGGTAGCTTGTGCAAAAAAAAAAAAAAAAAAAAAAAAAAACAAACCAAAAAAACCCCAAAACAAACCAAAAGTAAAGGGATGGCTGGATAGTAGCACTTATAAATTCCCACGCAGGACACTAGCACTTGCAAATTCCCTCTTGGAGACTTATTTCTAGCTTCTCCCTGGGAACGGCTGTGCTGCGGGCGGAGCAGCTGGGCCAAAGGTGGGAGCCCACATGGTGCTGGTGACGGTGGGAAGGGCAGGGCGGCCGCCGCTCTCAGCCTGCTCGGCACAGGCACAGGCTCCGCTCCGGCGCCGGGCGGAAGCGCAGGAAGCCCAAAGGATGCCCTGCAACAGATGTGCACATCCCGAGCCAAGGCGGGAGGAGAGGGGCGCCCGGGGCGGGCAGCACGCGAGGAGCAGGATCCAGGGACGTCGCTCTCCAACCAAACCCCATCCCTGGTCCTCTCCCAGGCTTGCGGTTCCCAAGCGAGTGGATAAGCACGGGAAGCAAAGCTAAGCCGGATCCGCCAGCCCCCAGCAGGGCTTTCCAGCTCCCTCCTGCGCTTTGCTTATCGTGATGCTGCAAGCGCGGAGAGGAAAACGTGGATTTTAAACGAGCAGACGCGAGGCAGGGACGCAGAGATGAGCGGGGAGGCAGGTGAAATAGTGAAGGAGCTGCACCAAAATGGTCATCAGCCCCACCTGGCACCTCCAACCCCGAGTTAAAACGTACATCGTCAGCCCATTACCACCCTCTCTATATGCTAAATGGGATTATATTTGGTTCAGCTAACACGAGAGAGAGCACGCGAGCGGCTCCTGAGTGATTGCAGGGTGTGGGAGAGACGGAGTATTTGGCGCTGCCATCTCCTCGCGTCCTTCTTCCTCTTTCCAAGCCACAAAAAAATTTTAAAATTAATACAAACATCCAGGTGTCCGGCAGAAAAGGATCAGCTAAGCCACTGGATTTGGTAAAAAAACCAAGGAACCGTAAAAAAAGTCAGACGAGCGACTGTACTACCTCCAGGTTCGCGTGCCGCAGGCAATGAGTTAGCAAGGTTTTATGGAGGATAACGGGAGCGGGTTATAGGCAGCCCCAGCCCTGACCCCGGCTGCATCCTCCTCCCCTCCAGCCGGGTCCAGACCCCCAGACGTCTCCTCCCGCCATCCCAGAAAAAAAGACTTTTTGTCTCGCTGGCTGATTTGGGATGCAGGGAGCCATCCCTCGCTCAGCTGCTCCTGCAGCCCCGGGCAGAGCCGGGCGCCCGCCGTGGGTTTGTCTCGCTGTCAGAGAGGGCTGCCAGCAAATCCAGCCTTGCGGATGCTCCAGGGGGAAAGCAAGACCCCAGGGCAGGTCAGGCCCTAGGAGATGCTTCAGCTCCATTAGAGAAACCCACTTTTCAACCTAGCAAATTCAGCGTCTGCTCCAAGAGATTCAATGACTTAAATAAACCTCATAAAAAGGCATTTTCTTTATGTGACCACGCCAGAAGGATCTCGCCTTGACTCCAAATCAGATGCGATTGCTCTGCCTCAGAAATCCCCCGTCCAAAATTTTCCCTGAAATCTGAGATCTCTCCTAGGATACTACTTTACTATCCAAGCAACTTCCTCATCAGAGTAGAAATACCACCGCTCCTCAACAGGTTCGGTGCCGGGCAGGGACGCTGGCTCTGCCAGTGCTCCCGGGGGTGGCTCGGGACAAGCTGGGGAACACCCCGGGTGACACCCAGGAGTGCCCTCGGACCGGGAAGGGAGCCGAGGTGTCCCAGCCAGCCGCGATTCCAGCAGTGCCTCAAGCAGCTGACGCTGCAAACGCCGGCGAGCCGAGCGCTGCGAACAGGTCCTGCCTCTTCACGTGCGGCTTCGCCGCCGAGCGAACACGCGCCCGTTTGCACCTCCGCCCCGAGGCATTCCTACGGAGATGCGATGAGGCGAGGAAGCCCGAGGAATACGAAAAGCCAACACCTGCGTCAGCCAAAAGCCCGTGGAAAAGGGATGCTGCAGCAAGAGGGCCTGCCCGCCCCGATCCGACAGCTGTGCTTGTGAGCGGAGGGCACAAACCCCACTGAGACCATCGCGGCAGCATTCCAGCTCCTGAACCAGCTCCTCGCTGAGCCGGAGTCTCCGGCCACCTCCGACAGCTTCCAGCTGAGCCACAACCACGCTCACATTATAAATCCCCCCGAGGAGGGTCCAGCCCCATATCGGCCAGCAGCGGTTTGAGACCCCGCGCACCATCTCCCTGCAACCACACACTTCTCGCTGCCCACCAGCAAGGGGCTGCACCACGTTCCCTGCCACAGCCACCGCTCAAGCGCTGGGCAAGCCCTGCCGCGAGCCCGTGCCGTACCAGGAAAAAAAGGTGGCAGTGACAAAATAGAGAGAAAAAAAATAAAATAAGCGATACTTGTCCTACCAGGCCTGAGACCCTACCGGAGCCTGGGTCTCAGCTGTGAGCCTTCCCGGAGCACAGTGAATCCCACGACCAGGCGGGAGACAGTGAAAAGACCGCAGCCCACCGGCACGGGGACGGGCACGCACCTGCCCTGTATCTCCACTGACGGGCAAGCATCCCCCGGCTCAGTTCATCCCAGGGAACGAAGCCCACCTGCCCACGGCTCCCGGCGCATCCATCCTCCGCCGGCGCTGGGAGGAGGAAGGTTTGCCAGAGGCAGCTCCAAGCACCGCCACGGCCCCCGCAGCGTCCCCGGGGACCCGAGGGGACCCAGAGGAGACCCCGCAGGCGGCCCCACCGCGGCCCCGGGGACCAGAGTGGGGACCTAGAGCGGTCCCTGGGGCGGCCCCACCGCAGCCCCGGGCAGGGCTCCATTGCGGAGGGGACCCGAGCCGGAGCAGCCGGATCCGGGCGGGTTCCCCCCGCCATCCCCGGCCCCTTGCCGGGGGCACCCTCTGGCACGGGCTGCCAGCACCGCGGGATGGCACCGGCGGCGGGGCCCCGGGGCCAAGATGCAGCTCCGCGCCGGTGCCGCACGGCGGGGGGAGCTGCCCCCCGGCTGCTCCCACCGCGGCTCCGCATCCCGCCCGCTCCCGGCGGTCCCGTTCGCCGCTCACCTTCCACGGCGGCCGCGGCGGCGGCCAGGCAGAGCAGCACCACCAGATCCGCAGCCATCGCCTCCTCGGGCCCCGCAGGCGTCAGCCGCTACCGGCGGGCGGCCGTGAGCGGGCATGGGGGTACGTCCGCGGGCCGGGTCGGGCCGGGGCAGGGCGGGCCGGGGCCGGGACGGGCCGGAGGCGCAGCCGGTGCCGCTCCCCGCCCGCCCGGGTCACATCGCAGCCGCGAGTGGCGCGCGGGGCCACGCCGCCGCCGGCCCCCGCCGCGCCCGGCCCCGCCCCCAGCGCCGCCCCGCCAATCCCCGCGCCGCCCGGCACCGCCCCCGGCACCGCCCCGCCAATCCCCGCGCCGCGCCCCGCCCCGGGCACGCCCCCGCCAGCCACGCGCGCCCGTGCGAAGGGGGACGGCGCCCCCTGGCGGACCTGCGGCACCCTCCCCTCCATGTTTCCCCTCAGCTGGACCCGCGACGGGTCGGCCCCGGCGGGGACAGCGCCGGGACACGGGAGGGGACCGGGCACAGCAGGGGACGGGACCCGGCGAGGGGCCGGCGAGCTCAGACTGCCGCAATCCCGCTCTCCTCTCTCACCGCCAAAGGCAGCCTGGAGCGAACCGGCAGCCCCGCGGGGATGTGCCCCGTCTGCCCCCCCCACCGATCCCCTCGGGTTCGGGCACAGCGGGCACAGCGCGGGGTCCCCTCAGCCCCCGCCTTCTCCTGGGCATTGCTCCGGGGTGAGAGGGGCACCGGAGCGCGGGGGAGCAGCTGCCTGGCCCGGGGGACACCAGGGCGCTCGGCATCCCTCAGCAGCACCCCGGGCATTGCCACCCAGGGCCGCGTCCTGGTGCCCACACACGGCCAGGAGCGATCTACATCCACAGCCTCCGAAAGGAACCGTCCAGAAGGACACTCGCCCTGTCCGTCTCATCCCACCCTGGTCACCCTTCGCAGGGCTCAACATCTCCCGCTCCGCACCCAGACAGCACAGCCGACCCCATCCCTCCCTCCACACGGATCCGCGCATCCCAGCACACGCGGGAGAGGACAAACAGCGCGGGCAGGGCTCACTGCGGTCACGGCCGCCCACCTGACACCACGGTGGGACCAGAAACCCCGCGGAGGCACCGAGCGCTGGAAAACCATCGGCTTTTCAGGGAAAGAGTGCGCAAAAAACAGCGGTGCCACGGGAATAAGAGTTTTCCTTCTGCGGTTGTGCAAAATATATTTCAAGAAGCTCCCATTCAGCTGAGCAAATAACAGAAAAAAATTGCCAAGAACCTTCTGGCTAAGTTTTAAGGAAATTTGCTTTCATCTTGACAACCCTTCTCCATTTCCTTCCCATGAATATCTCAGCAATCCAGTTTACTCACTCAGAGGATCACAGAAAGAAAACTGTGAAGTAAATGTCAGTATTATTTGCATCTTTATCCAGTCTGCCATAAAAGCAACACCATGTTATTTATCTGATCTAGCACAACTCAGTAACAGCTCGAGTATAGAATATTCATGATGTGCAAAGCAAAAAAATGTTAATCGTTTGAGAATACAAGAGATGAAGAGCTGAGCCTGTGAGTTATACAGAGAACTGCCTCAGTTTGGGTCTTTTTTTTTCCTCCCAAATAATTGTTATCAACTGAAAAACTCGCATTCAGAAACTAACGTTTGACCAAAAAAAGCCTGACAATTTCTGTGTGGGGAAAAAAAGAATAAAACATCAATATTCTTCTGATTTCTTTTCAGCTGGCCAAAGAGTTGGCTGCGCTGGGTGAAAGCCAGCTGTGTTTGTTCAAAACGCTTTCTGTTCCGTCAGCCTTGCTCCGAGTCTCCCAACAGCAAAGGCTCCGCTTCTCGTGGAGGACACGGCTCCAAAAAAGCCGTGTTGCCATCTGGAGGGTAGGCACGGGAGGTGGCAGCACCATGCCCCAGGGCCACTCTTCCTTGCTCGCCTGATGGGATTGTGGTGAGCAGCTGCCCCAGAGACTATGCCCACCAGTGTCCTCTTGGAGGACACACCAAGGACATTAAAGCCTAGTGGGGTTTTTGGCACGTTTTCCTTCATTTCCCTCTCAGAGCCAGGAGGCTTCTCCTACAGTGCCCCACCCATCACCAGGCAGCCACTGGTGAGCTCCCATCTCTTCCTTTCCCCCAGGACCCCCCATCCCAGAGCTGCCATCGGCCCCATGGAGCAGAAGCCCCAGGAGCCCAGGCAGGGGCAGCACCGCAGCGCTCAGCAAACACCTCGGGGAAGGCAAAACCACTCTCTGGGCCACCAGCAACCTCCAGTTCTGCCCACCAGGCACCTGTGCAGGAAGGACATGGGGCAAAGGCCTGCTCAGAGCATGAAGAGCCTCCGGGAAGGCTCTGGGCCGTCGCGTGCCCGGCTGGTCCCTCTGCGCTCGCAGCCGGCAGCGCGTCGAGATGGCGGCAGCCTGCTGCCAGAATTAGCTCTGTCTTAATTAACAGCTTTGCCTTTGTTCTCAGATGCTGCTTCAGGCGATGCCAAACCCTTTGTGGAGGATGAAGATCTGGGATCCCAGTGAAAGGAAGCATCAAGAGTTACAATACACCGCGACACAGATCTCATCAAAAATCCCTTGTAACTGCTTTTGAGACCAAGGGGGTCACAGCCTGGGCCGGTCCCTGACTGTCCCCACCACACTGGCTGTGATGGGACCAGCTGAAGCTCTAAGATGAATCCCACCAGGCTGCCCTTGTGAGCAACCATGCAGCAAGGGGGCCTCTGGAGGGGTCACCCCAAATCCTTTGAGCTGTGAAGTGGCCAAGCCCAAGCCCTCAGAGCCTGACACATCCTGTGACATCACCCGGAGGGTGTACCAGAACCACCAGCCAGCTCAGAGCAGGGGCTCACTGGGACGGTATCCTTGGTGGCAGGAGGATCCTGGCAAGCCACTCACTAACATGGGAGTGGCTCAGAGCAGGAGAAAGGTCAAACAAGCCTCCCCTGCATCAGCCCCGTGGAGCAGCAGAGCTGGCAGAGGACATGGGAGCCTCCCCAGGCCAGAACAAGAACAGAGCTAAAGCAGCCGTGACGCTCCCGGTTTATTTTCCGAGCCGAGGCCAGGCCTGCGGGGAGGGCAGGAAGCTTTGCACACAGCACAGGAGCAGCGCTCCCGCATCCCTAATCCTGCCAAGGCAGTGCAGGCTGCTCCCAGCCTGTGCATTAATTGCAGAGAAAAAGCCTGCACCTACAGCATCCTCCCAGGAGTCGAAGCCTGAGGAGCTGGTAAATCCTCTCCCCCATGAGAAAAGCAGATTCCTTCAGTTTTCCAGCCCTCCAGACTCGTCCAGCGTGCGTCACAACACGCGAGCCGGATGAGACAGGGAACACGGGTGGCAATGGTGAGGAGCATCCAACCCCTGCAGCATCGCCTGCGGAGCTGAACCCCCTCCTGTGAGCCCACATAAATGTAATATGATGTAATATCATTAATTAGCGGCATTAAACGTTCGGTGTATTCAGGGCACAACTCAGCCACTTGGCACAGTGCAGCCCAAACTGCTTACTGTACTCCCAGGGGAAATAACCTCAGGGAGACTTCGGGGCTTAAACCATCGGGAAGCAAACGGGAGAGAGGGAGGGAGAGAAGTTATTGTCCTCTTCAGGCATTCACAGAAAATTCAGGTGTCTTATCAGAGCAGAAGAAGCTGTAGGAAGGACGACTCCTTTGTCATGTGAACAATTTGAGGACTAAATTGAAGCGAGACGTGAAGAAAAAGTAGGTGAGATGAAGGTTAATTTGGCAACCAGAGTGAGAACAGAGGGAGCTGGGGTATGGAAGAGTCTATTAATTCCCTGGGCAAGAGACGCAGCCAGAGCCGGGACGTGGAGTAACTCCCCGCACAGTACTGAAAGATAAATTGCAGGTTCTTCTGCTGGAATATTCTGTTTATTAAGTTCCGAAATAGGAGACAGTCAAGTGCCAAGTGCCTTGAGCCTCTCGGTGCCTGAGAACATATTAATCACTGAGGGGAGCCGTGTTAAGGCAGCTCTGGTGGGACTCCAGGCTCCACGTAACACAATGGACACGCCGTGTCCCTCACTCCACACTGCCATGGAGGCAGGGAAGGAGGCAGGGAAGGCACTACTCCTCTAGCAATAGACAGCAGAGACAGGTAAAGATCAGCAAGTTCCTCTTAGGAACAAAAAAATCCACTTTGTTTCATAGATGCTGCAATTTCTGCCACCTGGTTTTTCCTCTTAATTGGGCTTTCCAGGGTGGTTGTGAGTCCCAGCAGACACGCCTGCCACGGGACAACACAAGCACAGATCAGGAGTGCCACTTGCTCCTCGATTTTCCTTTTTTCCCAGCCTCTCCAGGTGGAAGGATCTCTTTGTTCCCTTTGAAGGCAGAGGATTAACAAAGGCAAATGCGAAAGAGAAAAACAAAACTGCTTTGTCTGAGGATGGATGACATCTTTTTATCTGTTTCTAATCTGGCTTCAACTTTCATTTCTTTAGGAAGGAAAAAAAAATTCCAAAGATTAAATTTTATGCCAAGGCAAGCTATAATAAGTGACAGAAACACTCCATCTCCATGTCCCTGCTAGCTCTGTGAAGTCAGAACATTCACAGGGAAGAAAGCAAAATATAGACAGACAAACACTTTCAATGGAGATTTAAAATAAAAACTCTCTTCATGTTCCGAATGCAAAAGCCACAGAAAAATATGTCGCTTCTCCAAGGAAATTTCATTATCTTGAAGCAAAATGCAATTTATCTTTGGAAGCTTTAAAAAGGAAAAAAAAAAAAAAAAAAAAGCAGGGAGGGGAACCTGCCACAAGAGTTTCACTTTGTCGCAGCGTTTGGCTTGTTGCAATCCGAGCTGTGTCCCCATGTCTGGAAGCACAGAAGAGCTGGCAAGTTTTTAACATGCAAGTCCCTCCAAAGAAGCAGGGACAAGGGAGAATGGTCCAGCCCACCTCATATCTGCTGCTCCTGGGTCCCATTCAGACATTCTTCTGCCGAAATCACCCACTAAAGAGCAAAAAGCTGTCTGGGATCGGCTGCTCACCTCATGCACAGGAAGCTTCCCATTTTTTCCTCCTTTATCGTGACGAATTCCCGATTGTCACCGTGATCAATGGTCCCATGAACACTATCATAAGGGTAATATGATTGTTCCCCCTGCTCCTATTGCTCACAGGGTAATTA